TGGCCCTGTCACCCCCTGGGCTGGGCCAGCAGGACCCCATGGTGTGGCCACCCCGCTGTGGCCAGGGCTGTGCAATACCAGGGGACAGAAATAGCTGCGGTGACCGCAGGGCCAGCAGCAGTTTCTTCATCGCAGGAGCGTCAGCGGCGTCCCATGACTCGGAGAAGGGAGCGAGACAGGAAGGAGAGAGCCCGTGGAGCTGGCAGGAAGCTGGAGGCTGCAAGAGCCCGGGGCTGACGTGGGCACGACGTGCCAGGAGGGGGGCACAGCCCTGCTCGGAATGAGGGAGAGCAGGGGATGGGGTTGGGGACAGGGTGGGAGCAGAGGTCCCCACCAGCTCATCCCTGGTTTGGGGACAAGATGGGAGCAGAGGTCCCGCCAGGATCATCCCTGGTTTGGGGACAGGGTGGGAGCAGAGGTCCCGCCAGGATCATCCCTGGTTTGGGGACAGGATGGGAGCAGAGGTCCCCACCAGGCTCCTGCTGGGTCTGGCTGAGGGCCAGGTCCCTCTGGGGGCACCCCTGGCTGCAGCACCCCCCTGTGCACCCCCCTTTTGGCACAGGATGCCGAGCTGCCAGCAAGGGAAGAGGATGTGGGGGCACGGTGGCAGTGTGACGGTCAAGCTCCTGCCTCAGTTTTCCCCCAGTCTGGCCCGGTGTGGGGCAGGGGGAGGGCATAAATGTGGGCCTGGGTTTCCCTGGGGTCAGTAGCTTTAAGCCATTTTTTCACCCAAAATACAAGCAGAGAAAGTGGCCATGTCCCATCCCAACTCTGTCCCCCTGTCCCATCCCAGGCCCTGCCACCAACACAGAGACCAGCTGTGAGCAACCTCCCTGAGCTACACAGAAATAAAAATAATAAGAATTTTATTGACTTATCAAAAACTATGTGAAAATACAACTCATGAGGGGCTGGGAGCCACTGTCACCCCTCCCTGACAGGTGACAGCCAGGGCTGGCATTGAACCAGAGCCCCCCACTGCCCCCTTGGGGATTTTTGGGGTGCCAGGGGTAAGCCCAGCTCCAGGAGTGCTCTCCCCTCCATGGGGCTGCTCCAGGGCTGTCCCTGAGCATCGTGGCCAGCGCTCCCTTCCCAAGGGGACACATGCCACCAGCCCCAGGCTGTCCCCTATAGCACCACGGTGGCACAGCTTTGCTCTTTGGCATTTTTCCCATGTCCCCTCCACCTGGGCCACCCACCCCACCCAGGCCAGGCCAGAGGGACAGGATGGCACCAGGGACTGCCCCTCTCCTTGTGCCCACTGCCACAAAGCCACCACGTCCCCAAAGCCACCACAGCCCCAGCACAGAGGGAGCAACGCTGAGCCCGGCTCTGTGCTGGGGGATCATTAAAGTGAACAATTAATGACAGGGGTGGGGAGCAGGGGGACACCACGCTGGGACAGCCAGCCTGGGGACAGCCAGCC